AGGGGGGGGGGGCTCTTGCCTCTACCACCAATATCTTGTGTGATCTAGTTCTCATCATCGTCTTCAAAAGCTGCAATGTTGGGAACTGCTGCCCTTGCTGCTCTTTGGATCCCGATCTTTTCGGTCAAGATGTGTGTCACTGATGTCGGTAATCTCTAGGCTTTTCAGAAAATGTCCTCGCCTTCTTGGTATTGATCGGTACAGTGCGTACTTGTAATGACTGCGTGATAGCAGTCTCAACTACTGCAGCAAGGGTGTGGATCCTTATTTCTAGATTTACAAGGAAAGTGGAGTTTAGAGTCCGGGAGATGGGTGGTGGTAAGTAGGGTATACAACGAACCGTTTCCTATTTCCATTTCAGCAAAAGAGAAAATACTGTGCTTTACAATATTTAACCCTCTCCGTACGCCCTGGGGGTCATTTTGTACCCCCTGGGGTTGTATTTTTCACATTTTAGAATACTTCTATTACGAAGATCTCTTTGAAACTTTCAGTATTTCTCAAAAAATCATTTTGACAGATTGCTAAGCAAGGCGTACTGGTCGGATTAACGAGTAAATTTCCTCTTTGGAAAGTGGTGGCACAAAGTTCCCCACGTCGTATGGATACGATAGGAAAACGCGATTTACGGATATGGTTAAGGTGTCATCATCATCATCATCATCATCATCACAACAACAACAACAAAATCAACAACAATAACAATAACAACAACAACAACAATAATAACAACAACATCTACAGAATCAATGACAGCTGCAGCAGATGCAACACAAACCAATAGAACTTTCGACAGAACTGAATTCAGTGCGATCTCAATCAGTATTGTGACTAATAATAAAAATAGCTGCAGTAGAAACACCAACAACAGCAGCAGCAATAATAACCAAAAATCAACAGTAACAATTCACAACAGCAACAGCAGCAACAACAACACAACAACACATAACAAAAAACAACAACATGAAAAATACCAGCAACAACAACAGCAATAACAACAACAACAATAGCAACAACAACAACAATAACAACAACAACAACCAGAGCAACAACAACAACAACAACAACAGATACTACAACCAATGAAGGGCACATCACGAAAACACAGCATCAGTATCGACCCAATCGTTTTATACTTAGATAATATCATTATATATAGCGAAAGCTAGGGCATACACTCAATTCTCTCCGTATGATCTAGCAGGGCCCGAATAAAGAATATCGCTTAATGCAGTGTGACAGGAGAGTTTTATCCTGTCAAGCCAAGTTTGGATGCAGATATGTACATAGGTGGCTTTTCTGCCTAGTCGGGAGAGGCGGAATGTCGGGGCGGGTCGAAAGATCGGTTTATTCTGGGATATTAACATAGACTCAGGATGCGTTTGGGGTTATGTGGGTGGCATTATTGGAACCGAGGGAGTGTTATGTCTCCAGACGTAGAGAAAGAGTCTGACGAGGCAAACAAGAAAGCAACAAAAGAAAATAACGAAAACAGTAGGCGTAATAAAATTGTATAGATTGAACACCTGCAAATTCGTTGTCGGATAATACATTGTTTGTTTTGTTTTTATGTCTGTATTGTAAATGATTATAATAACATTGGTAAACTTATGATAATAGTAACATTAATAGTAAAGATAATAATAATAATTATTATTATAATAATAATAATAGTAATAATAATAATAATAATAATAATAATAATAGTGATAATAATAGTAATAATAATAATAATAATAATAATAATAATAATAATAATAATAGTAATGATAAATGATAATAATAAAGTTCATAATAATGATACTGATAATGATGATAATAATAATAATGATACTAGTACTACTACTACCATTACTACTATTACTACTTCTACTTCTACTACTACTACTACTACTACTACTACTACTACTACTACTACTACTACTACTACTACTACTACTACTACTACTACTACTACTACTACTACTACTACTACTACTACTACTATTAAATAACAACAAAAACAATAATAATAATGATAATACAATAATTATAATAATAATGATTACTGTAACAATATAATAACAATAATGATGATAACAATTATAATAATAATAATAATAATGATAATAATAATAATAATAATAATAATAATAATAATAATAATAATAGTAATAATTGTAATAATAATAATAAAGTCATAATAATAATAATAATAATCATCATCATCATCATCACCACCACCATCATCACCACCATCATCATCATCATCCTCATCATCATCATCATCATCATCATCATCATCATCATCATCATCATCATCATCATCATCATCATCATCATCATCATCATCATCATCATCATCATCATAATAATAGTAATAATAATAATAATAATAATAGTAATGATAATAATAATAATAATAATAATAGTAATAGTAATAATAAAGTCATAATAATAATAATAATAATAATAATAATAATAATCTTTGAAAACATAATAGTTTAAACTCTAGGTCCAGAATTCAAAATTCTGAAATGCCAAATTTCAACGTAAATTTCTACAATAAAGGTCTAGAGAATAATCATTATTTGTTTCTCTGAGTGATTATTGTATATCGTACAAACTGTATAATACGAATAGATATAATAATACTATAGTTTATACAATATACCGCAATCTTTTTTTTCTACCCTAACACGTGGATATCGGTTCTAGCCTTGCTCAGGCAATGATCGTAACATTATCATGACTTTGAAGCAAACACATTGTTAAGCTAAATATCATGAGCTGTGTGTCTCTTCTGAAATAGAACTCTGGCAAAACCAGAGCAGAGACCCGGGGAAAACATATAAACGTATCCTGATAGAGAAAAAAATATAATTATTATCTAAAATCAAGAATACACGACCGCTATTTTAGATCTCTCTCGCCCCCGCCACCTCAACCCCCCCCCCTCAAAACCGTAATATCTCCCTCAATAACGCCACTAAAATTTGGTTTTATCTCTCAAGAAATGGCTCTTCTTTAAGAGACTTCTATTAATCGTTCTCACCACTTTGGAAGTGCTTAGAAATAAGAGGGTCAGTCGACAGAGCCGACCGTGTAAATACGAGGCAGGATTAGTGGCCGATGATGGACAGCTGAGAGAGAATCGATGAAGCTCACCCCGCTCTTGACTGCTGCGGTTGGCTTGAGCAGGCGAGGCAGTCGTATCTACCGTTTTTTACAATCTCACCCGCTTCAGGGTATGGAAGGACGAACGCACAGCGAAGGACAGAAACACAGTACCTTAATTTCACCTAACGTATACCCCACCAAAATATTATGTGAAATATAGAACGAACTACAGTTACTGGGTCTGCTCCGTCTAAACACCGACACACTTATTGTCCGGTCAACGGTTATTTTATTCTTGTACTTCCTCATACAAGACAC